GTCCTGATTGCTGGGTGGAGGTCTCTCAAGTTTCTCTCTCCCACCTTATTATGACCTTATTTATCGTGCCACCAAAGGTTTTTTCCCCCTAGGGTGGCGTTCACTTGTAGGCATTTAGCACTCAGTGCTCTCTGTTCTGGCATCTTAATTCTTGGGGACTCGAGGAGGGAGGAGAGAGGGTAGGCTAGGGGCTGGGAGATTAGGCCATCAGTGCGATGACAAGTACGTTTTGTGGAGAAGCCCTGCACACGTCTGTCCGCCATATTGCAGGGCAGTATGGTTGGAAGAGGCCATGGAAGCCACACCCAGGCCTGTGCTCCCCTAGGAGGAGAATGGCACACAGTTGTTAACACGGAAAACTCTGAGGGACCCTGCCGGCTGAGCCAGAGCCAGGGAAACAGTTAACTGAGGGCTGATCTGGGTGATTTTTGAAGGTTTATGACTAGAAATAGCATTGTAACCATTAAGAGAAATAGCGAAAACCAAAGAGGAGCATTTGGAGATTATAGCAGATCTATCTCATGCATATTAATTTGATGCGAGGACAAAATATTTAAAGAATATCTGTGGGCATTTTTTAAATCCCCCAAATGATTGGATCTGGGGGGTCAGAGCTAAAGATCTGAGAATTGTCCACGTATATCAGAAGTGACTGGGGCGCCTGGGTGGCTCAGTTGGTTAAGCGACTGCCTTCGGCTCAGGTCATGATCCTGGAGTCCCGGTATCGAGTCCCGCATCGGGCTCCCTGCTCGGCAGGCAGGGAGTCTGCTTTTCCCTCTGACCCTCCCCCCTCTCATGTGCTCTCTCTCTCATTCTCTCTCTCAAGTAAATAAATAAAATCTTTAAAAAAAAAAAAAAGAAGTGACTGTCTACGCTTTGGAAGGAAATGAACTCTCAGAAGCGGTGAGGGGGTGGGGAGGCCATGAACTAAACCGGGGGTATATATTCACCGGTGGTCGGCAAAGGAGGGCCAGGAAGGAGAAGCAGCAGCTGTGATGTACAAGCTAGAAAGAGAACTCCAGCTGAGCATGGCAAAGCGATCACAGGTGTGCCGAGTGCACCCTGGGTTCCCCTAGGGCAGATACTGCTAGCTGAGTGGAGCACTCGTTCTCCAAGAACCTGCAGCCAGCCCTGGGACCCTTCACACCGATGCCGGGCAGCTGCTCAAAGCTCTCTTGTTACAAAACGTTGAGAACTGTCCTGCTTCCCTCCCACAGCGTCTCAGAGTAGGAAGGGCCTACGGGTCATCTCTGAGAAGCTGAATTTCCTCCAGGCTCCCTCTGAAGAGGACGCACTAGGGGGGATTCACTTCTCAAGGGTGTGGCGTCCCAGAGTTGGCTGTTGAATCCGCAGATAGTGGGCAAATACGGACAGGAATGTTGGGTGGCATAGAAGATGCTAGAAAAGGAAACTTGCGTCCAGTCTAAGTAGAGGGAGAAGACAAGTGGTGGGATTGACTTTGAAAGTGATGGAGAAGCCACGAGGAGATGCTGTAGGGAGAGTCCCATTTGGAGATTTGCAAGAAATGAAGTCTGACGTTCCTGTCAACAGTTAACTGTATTTACTCCCATGAGTCGATTTTGCATACCTAGGTAAGTCCTGTTTACGTAATTAATAGGACGAAGCCAACTCTGCTCTCACAGTTGAATTCGAAAGTCTGGTCTTTGCAGGAGCTCTTGCGAGTGTTTCAGTGGAGAACGCTCCGTAACAGCTACCGCATTGGAATGAAGCAAAAAATATCGGTGCCCCTGGGCCACAGACCCCCATCAGTATTCTCACTGCTTTGTCCCGAATCATCTGAGGGCATGTGTGCGCCGGTCCCCCCCAGACGATGTCTCCCGAGTGCTGGAACCCTCCCCCCCCCTTGGGGCCTGGTAGCCACGTGCCTGAGACATCATCATTGGAAGGCAAGCTCAGTTCTTTTCCTTAGTTCCAGGGCATGTAGCTCGTGATTCTGGCTGGAAGGCTTTGTGGCAGGCCAGTTGTGCAGAAATTTAACTGGGAAGCTACTGGTTGTAAATTTTTTTTTCACTGAGAGGTTCAAAAATTCTTGATCAGAAGGACTTTTGTTGTGCATTTGAATTTCACAGATTAAGACAAGTGTGAGCCTGTTCGGTAGATGTAATCAACAGTTGTCACGTTGCATCCACGAATTAGCAAGTTTTCCCGACGGCCTGACTGTGACTTATGTCCTTCTTTCTTATCTCGCCTACCAGTTCACTGGGGTGGTTTTGCATAAAATACATGAAGTCAGGGTACTGTCTTACAAAATTCAGTGTAGAAGAGATTTGTAATTTATAGTGTTAGGACATTAAACCCCATGGATCGAGAAGCTAGGCCTTTAAAAATCCACAGATGTGTCTCAGCCAATAATTGCAAGGTGTAATTGTGGGTCAGTCATGGGGAGACCTATTTGTAAGTCACAGCAAGGTTTTAAGGGTCTTTTTTTTTTTAAGATTTTTTTTAATGTTTTATTTATTTATTCATGAGAGTCACAGAGAGAGAGAGGCAGAGGGAGAAGCAGGCTTCCTGCCTAGCAGGGAACCCGATGCGGGATTCGATCCTAGAACCCTGGGATCATGACCTGAGCCGAAGGCAGACGCTTAACCATCTGAGCCACCCAGGCGCCCCATTTTTTAAGATTTTATTTATTCATTTAGAAAGAGGGAGAGGCAGAGAGAGAATCCCAAGCAGACTCCACACTGAGCCAGGAATCCGATGTGGGGCTCGATCCCAGGACCCCGAGATCATGACCCCCGCCCAGATCGAGAGTCGGACACTCAGCCAACTGAGCCACCCAGGCACCCCCTCAGTTTTTAAGTTGAAAATCCCAGCAAGGCCGTGGGTGTCCAAGGACATCCCGGGATGGGGGGGCAGACACCCCCCGGCCTTCCCCCCGCCCCCCCCCCGTTCCACAGCAGGTGCACTGCTCTGCTTCGTGTAAACACATGGGTCGTTTGTTCTCCTGCTCAAGAGCACAATAGATTGGGGTAGAATTTCCGATGCCCTCTCACGTCTGAACTCTTATCACCATCTCTCCAGAACTCGAGCCAAAGAGAGTCAGGGAGCGTGGAATGCGCACATACATACCCTGCAAGCAAGCAGGAGACACCCCCCCACCCCGCCAGCTGAGGCTCCTGTGTCTCTCAATGCCTTCCGGGGACCCTGCCCTTACTCTTCATGGGGCATCTCCTTCAGCCCCTTCCCCGAGCTCTGCCGGGTCTTCTCCACGTGAAGCCCAGCTTGGCCCGTTTTGGGGTTCAGCCAGGGCCAGGCCTGACCCACACTCGGCAGCTGCGCCCCACAGTGCGCCCACATCACAGGAGATTTTAACAACTCCAGGATTGTCATAGACCTTTGAGAAGCCGATGGAAGTGCTGGACCCTCTTGTCAGACAAACGTCATTCACATTCCCTGAGACCGGGTGCATTAACAGAAGGCCTTCAGCAGTGGTTTGGCCAATGGACGTACCCACCTTCCCTCCTTCGGGTACTGTTCACAGCTCCCAGGGGACTAAGTTCTAAAATAGTGATTTTACGTGGAGCACAATACCGTTATCATCAGAATGCGTAAAGATTTTATGTAAAAGTAGCGTGGTCCTGTTTCTAAGGCAGTTGGTGCTCATTTAGGGAAGTGGTTCCCCAGAGCTGGCTGTGCATTAAGAAACTTCCCGTTCCTGGGATCAGGTGGGCGGGGTCCATCAGCCACAGTGGCCGAGGCTGCTCCTCTCCTGAGACAGAGGGAAGCAGGGAAGGACATGATGCGCGGAACAGCCTCCTTGTCTCGGGGCTGAGGGGCTCCAGGGGGGCAGGGCTCTGAGCGAGCAGCCTCAAGAAGGGCGGGGCTGACCTGGACAGCAGGGAGCTGGGCGAAGGGCAGGGGCTGGAGGTCAGGGGCTGGGAGGGATGCTCGGGAGCCGAGAGTGTGGAAGGTCGGGGCTTGGTGCGGTAGATGTGACCACATGCAGGTGACAGAGTGGTCACCTGGGCAGGGCTCCACTTGGCAGGTCATAGGTGGTTGATAGCTGCTCACGGGGCGATCGTAATGCAGCTGCGTCATGGCCCAGTGACTGGAAACTACGGCTCAAATGAGATGTGCCTAAAACTCCAGCTCGAGATTTCTCCGCGGTTATTGGTAACTGGTCATGCTGTTTATATGTGGCGCCCCGTCCCTTTCATCTCCATGGCAGGAGTGGGGCTAGACGAGAGCAGAGGGTCTCCCGTGGCCCAGGCCGTGTCAGCCTGAGCGGCACACATCACTGAGCCAGTGGATAACACTGTGGAGTAGGCGGCCTTTTCCCCCATGTTAAGGGTAAGGAAGTGCGCCTCGGAGGAGTCAAGTCCGTCCAACGACCCCACAGTGGCAAGTGGTACAGCAGGATTTGATTGCAGGCCCCACTCTTCCCTGTGCAGACGGTCGCCCCGTGGCAGCCGTGACGTCGCCCCAGACCACCTGGAGTCCCACCCACTCTCCAGGTGGGAGACGATGGAATGAAAGATGAAAGCCTTCCTCACGGGAACGGGTCTTCTGCCATCAGAGAACAGAAACCCCCAGGCATCCCTGTTTGCGGTTGGTGTATCTCTGGATCTACATGCAGGTGCCTGAAAGAAATCAAGACTACTCTGAGATTAGTGCTATTAACTGAATTTTCACCCCCACAGATACCTCCATGGTGCAGTGAGTGACAGTGTTATTTCCCCGAGTGGCTTCCTCTGTGCCCAACACAGAGACACGGACATCACACACTGATTTTCATTTTTCCTCATCCCCCGAGCATTGATTGAAACCCAGCTAAACCATGCTGGCTTTAGGAACCAAATCTTGCGTGTTTGGAGGTCTGCGGATTCAGATCTCCGCTGTGTAGTCGGCCGGTCCTGTGTGTGCCGCCAGCCCCATGCAGGCGCGATTGAACCCAAAGGCACTTTTATGACCGAGGACGGGCAGAGGGGCTGCGGTCTCATGAAAGCTAAACTCTTCATCCCCACCACTCTGTGTTTCAGAACAAGAGGAAAACTTTGAGTTTATCATTGTGTCCCTCACTGGCCAGACGTGGCACTTTGAAGCCACCACATATGAAGAGCGAGATGCGTGGGTCCAAGCCATCGAGAGCCAGATCCTAGCCAGCTTACAGTCGTGTGAGAGCAGCAAGAATAAGGTAAGACCCTTAGCAGGCTGCCCCCCGAAATCAAGAGCCACTGATCGTTAAAGGGAAGTGGAGGCCCAAAGGAATGCCCAAGGGAGGGGAAGCATCATATGATGTGTGTGATTGACAAGACCCAGTTATTCTTCCTGAGCGAAAAGCTAAATAATTGAAAAGAATAAAAAACACTTTGTGTCGATATGTATCAAGTATGAGTATCCTAGCCTAACCATGTTCCCATGGCAGAACATCCCGTTTTAAATCTTGACTCTCTCAACTAATCCCAAATAGAAAGCATTGACCTTTTTATGGTGGATGATGGGATCTTTTAGACTCTTGTGGTGTATGCGTTGACATTTACTTTGTTTTACGCAGCATACACTCAGGAGAGGAGAGGGAGACTTAAAAGATGCACTGTTCTCTTCTCACAAGTGCACAAAATTCAAACCCATGTCAAGTTACAACACTGAGTCTTGTTACGGATGTAAAGGAAAAGCAGAGGCTCAAAGATGAGCATGCAGGGCGTTTGGGGAGGAGACCGTGTCCATTCTCTAAACTCTGCTGATAAAGCCTGCTCGGTGTTTTATTCAGTAATCGGAGGTGATTCTTTGCAATTGTTCAGCCAGAAAAACAAAACAAACTGTAAGCCACATTTTCTAGACCACTGCCAGTGATATTCCCATTATGGCTTTTTTCTCATTCATTACTTAGTAGCTTGGATGTTCTCAACCCCTTCTCTGGGACATTGTAAAGTCTCAGAGCATGTCGATTTTTCAAGCTATGATCAACTAGAAGAGGAGAGAAAGAGCATTGCCCACCGACCTGCACCCTGATTTGTGACCATTTGAAGAAACCTCTGCCAATGATTTATGCTCAGCTTCGGCATTAAGAAGGGAGTCTATCTTTCAGAAAGATGGAGTGTCTTACTTTATTACCCTCTTTAACCAGGGTAAACCAGACCACAGCCGTTATTATTATAATGTAATTTGCTTCTTTTCTTTAAAGGTGTTTTATACCAAGGTGGGGAGAATCAGTGCCTCTCCCTTCTGAGAACCTTGGCTTTACTGACTCACGTCCACAGACAGGGCTCCTGAAGCAAATGCAAGGAAGCTTCTGGATCTCCTCATGGACGGGGATTGACCACATATATCACACACAAAGCATGGGAATCTAGTTTCAGAACAGGAGTGGGGAGAGCACGTGGCCAAACAGACAGACACATCCTCCAGATTTTGTACACAATCACAGTATTTCACATCACACCTGAATCCATGCCACATCCTCAGGATTCAGGAGGATCTAAATCTCCCGTCTCTTGTTTCCATTTCACGCCCTTGCCGGACTCAGCATCACTTCTGGGCCTGACACAAACACTGGCCTACAATGCTGTCCCTTTCACTAGCCGCGTGTGCTCGGGGTGGGGGGCTCTCTCCCTCGGAGGACTCACGAGCACCAGGGAAGACAGGCTCACACCTGTTCACCTTGGGTGTTTGCTGAATAGGTGTCAGAGTGCACAGTATGGAAGTCCCATCCAAGGAATAGCTGAAGGGAAAATACAGACTCAGTTGAGAATGAGCTCTAAGAAATTTTGGCTGCCTGTGAATAATTCAGGCAGGGGCGTACGTATATGTACATCTGCTGTGAAAGTCAGGTAGACAGACAGACACATCCCTCTGTGCACACATACACACATACTCCAGGTGCCAACATAAATTGTTAAATACACTTTGAATCCTGGGATATCCGACCAAAAGGAATAAAATCTTCATAATGCATTATGCTAATTAGAGAATGGAAGCAAACAAAGTATAATTTATATTATTAGGTAGTAAGCAATCAGTCATCCCACATCAGACAATTTGACATGAGATGATTCAATTTATAAATTCTGACATAAAAATGAAGCTTGTTTTAAGTGTCCTCTGAAATTTGTTTGGGTGTATGCATCGGCAGCCTTTAGGAACAGTATGTATCCTGGGGCGCCTGGCTGGCTCAGTTCGGTAGTGCATGCAACTTTTGTTTGATCTTGGGGTTGTGAGTTTGAGACCCACATTGAGCATGGAGTTTACTTAAAAAAAAAAAGTTAGCTTAAAAACAGCACAGACCCTTGTACCTGGCACCTCTGCTTCCAAAAATTTGTCATCAGTAAGTAATGACAAATGCAGGCGAAGTTTTAGCAATAAGTGAGTTCTTTACAGCACTATTTACAGTGGAGAACAATTGGAAACCACCTAGGCGTCCATCAAAGAAAACTTCAGAAAGAAGTTCTTGTAAGCGGCAGGGTGTGCAGCCACTCAAAATGATGACGTGGGAGAATGCGGGGTGCATTGAGAAGTGACCCTGTGTCACTGGGCTAAAAGTGCACGTTCCAGAGCAATACAGGCTGGCTTTTTTTTAAGTACACGTATGTGTACAGATGTGCTTTTAAAAACAGGCTAGAAGAAGAGATATCATACTGTCAATAAAACTTAAGTATGGATGATCACATCATAGCTTATAAATTCTTCCGTTGTTCTTTTCCCCCTTAGGTATTTCTTTAACTTGTAGAGAGAAGAGGGTTAAGTATCAGTTTAAGAACAGACGCCCCTCCCTGCCCTCCACCCTCCTTAGTGACTCCGTTGCCATAGCAACTGAGATACTCTTAGTGTGAAAAGTGCATCTCTAAGGCATGAAGCGTGGTGTGGACGTGGCTTCCTGGCGAGGAATCATGAGCTGTGTCTCGTGGCGCCGATTAAGCCCTGACCCGTGGCTCATAAGCAGATTATTTCCCATTCTTCCATCTTCAGAGCAAGCCGACACAACAGGGCCCGTTAACCACTTCCATTCTCCGGGTGGCGGTTGGTCTGTGTTCACTCGCGAATGATCCAGAACTACCTCTGTCCTCACTCCAGGTCGAGGCCTCTCATCCGACAGGTCTTAACACGGGGCTCGAAGCATTCTCGGGCAGTCATGCTTTTTCCCCAAAGACCTCAGAAGAGGAGTGGCTGCTTCAAACGGTCCTCATCCTGTATCTGCTGACAGATGATTTGATTTTGCCCCGACGTTACTCGGGGACGCGTCAGTGTCTCCCGGGGTTCTTACCTCTTGCCTTTGTCTTCCTATGCCCAGTCCCGACTGACGAGCCAGAGCGAGGCCATGGCCTTGCAGTCGATACGAAACATCCGCGGGAACTCCCACTGCGTGGACTGCGAGACCCAGAGTAAGTGTGGGCCGGGGAAGGGGGCCGGGCCCGGGACACGGGAGGTGGGGTGGTCTGGTGACGCCCAGAGTGCAGTGGACCCACTTCGGTCATGCAGCACGTAAGGTTTATGATGTGACGTGACGACTTTTAAAGAATTGAAATACTCGTGTTTGGATTTTATCCTACCACAGTACCCTGCACACGAAAGCGTAGGTTTGCCGTCTGCCTCCGGCCCCCGGATGAGCAGCCGTCACACCGGGGGGGCGGGCGCACGCCCAGATTCCGTGCCGTACCCAGGAATTAACCTTTTGCTTCATCAGTGATCATATGCTTGTTTGCTTTCTCATGAAAATACAGCACAATTGTTAATTCCTGCCCAGAGATTTCTAGGGTTGGTATTTTTCATTGCAAAATCATATATTCTGGATTTTGGCATCAAAAGGCCTTTCTCTTTTTTTTTAATGTGAAATTCGCTGTCCACTAAAGCCTTTGATTGAACTGATAGACTTCATCATAACTGCTTCGTGCCTTCGAGTGACCCAGTTTTACTTGGTGCTTCCCGCCGTGCAATGCGGAATACTCTGTCCCCTCTGAGAAAGTCATCTTGTTGTCATCCTTGAGGTTAAAGACTGACTTTTAGTTCTCTACATCCCAGCCCTTAGCCCAATGCCGGGGGCATTCAGTAAACTTTTTCCAGTCGTATTTTTTGTTGTTGTTACTAAAAAACAAAGTTTTGATGCAGGGCACCTGGGGGGCTCAGTTGGTTAAGTTCCTGCCTGCGGCTCAGGTCATGATCCCAGGGTGCTGGGATCGAGCCCCACATCCCACTGCCTGCTCAGCAGAGAGTCTGCTTCTCCCTCTCCCTCTGCCCTTCCTGCTGCTTGTGCACGCTCTCTTCTCTCTCTCAAATAAATCAATAAAAATCTTTAAAGAACAAACAAAGCCCACAAAGTTTTGATGAGAGGGAGATCCAGTTGAGACCAGGTGAAAGTCACTGGCCCCAGGCTCGGTGTCACCTGGGAATCACAGGCATGTGATACGGTCCTGGCCATCCTGGAGCCCGAGCCTGGTGGGCAAGGTGGGACCCAGAGACCACGGAACCTGCCACCATGGCGAAGGGCTGTTACATTGCACACGGCAACTCAAGCAGACTTTGTGCAGAAGTTGGTGTTTAGAGGGGCTGAAGAAGTCATGGCGTCAGGGGAATAGCAGGACATGCACCTGCTGCTCAGGTTGGAGGCTGGTTGGAGCTGAGAGAGGTGAGGATGCTCAGTGGGGGAAGGTGAGGATGCTCAGTGGGGTGGAGGCGAGGATGTTCAGTGCGGGGGCAGGGGTGAGGATGCTAAGTGGAGGTGAGGATGCTAAGTGGAGAACATTAGAGCCTTTCTCTTCATCTGTAAACAGTGGGAACTCCTTTGAGTTTCAGAGCAGGAGTGAGATGGATTCTGAGCTATGCTTGGGAAGATGGGCCTGGCCCTACCATCTCCTGTAGATTGGAACAGGACAGTGGAGAGAGGAGGAGGCCGCTGTGGGGGATGGTAAACAGGAGGAGGTAGGCACTAACTCAGGTTGTTAGAGTGAAGGGCAGGGGCGAGCCTCCCCTGAGCAGCCACTGTGCTGCAGGGCAGGATCGGGGAAGGTCACCAGGCCAGTGTCTGTGGCCCCCAGGGGAGAGAAAGGGTCTCTTCTTCAGGTGTCTTGATGAACTTCTCTAAAGTATCTTCTTTTGTGTGAAGTTTTAAATTTTACTTTCAAAACGTGTCATGAAAGGAAGTTACAAGAGAGTACTTATTAAGTGTGCGTTTTTACCAAAAAGTTGTTAAAGTAAGAATTTTTAAAGCTGTCAGAGCCTCCATTAGGAGAAGTGCCTACGATAATTTCCACCATACAGCCGGAGCCCCTTAAGAGGGACGATTTCCATGGCTTGCAGGCTTCATGGTACGAGGCACATGGTACGAGGAGGTCAGGAGTCCTTTCTGCGAGCAGGTGGGTCGCTCGAGTGCCAGGTGTGGGGTTGGGGGTGCGGAGCTGTGGGGAAGGGAGGCCCCTGAGCAGATACGCAGGGACGAAGGGAGCGGGGAGAGGCCGAGTGTGACAATTCCGGAGAAAAAAGAGATCGCAAGCTCCCATTCTTTAAACACTTTGTCTCCGTCAGGCCTGTGCCAAACCCACCAGGGCACTGTTTTTTTTAGTTCTTGTGACTGAATGTTGGTGCTGCGGTCGGCCCCACGGCCCCACTTACAGGGGAGGAAATGTGGAGTCTGAGGGGGGAGTTATATTTCGAGTTATATGTCCCAGGTCACAGAAATAGCAAGCGGAGCTCCTTGCCTCTCTGCTGTATTACAGAGATCAAGGACACCAGGACACGTTGGCAAAGACTTTTTGTTTTTTAAAAATCAAAATACTTAATTTTGGTGCAAATGCTGGGAAGGGCACCACCCCCACACTGATGATGACCTGTAAAACCTCCCCGAGCCATTTAGCAGTGTACATAAAAAGCCTCGGGCAAGTGGATGCCCTACCCTCCAGCTGGGTCCTCCAGGAACCAAGCCCATGGGAATGAGCAAAGGGGCCCAGAGACGTAGCTTCAAAGGTGTTCATCACAGCGCTGTTTACAGAGCAAAAAATCAGAACATCCCAAATGTGCAAAACTGGAAGAACCATTGATAGTGATGTCTTCTCAGTGCAATAATGTGCAACCTTAAAAAGTGATGTTAAAAATTTAAAAAGTAAGTTATGTAAAAAAAATGTATTAATTGAGATGGAGAAACTTTATAATGCATTGGAAATGAGAAAGTATTGAGGCAGTGAGTCAAGGAGATCGTAGTGAATCACTTTAGGAGTTTAGGCAGAAAAGGTCTGTAAGGATGTATTCCAGAACGTTGACCCCACCTATTTCTGAAATTGGTCGGGTCTCTGGTGATCCGGGTCATCTAATTGTATAGTGAGCACCTGTGTCTTGGGAAATTGGATATTGAGTGGCCTGTATTTCAGTGTGTGCAAGTACACGCAGTAGTCAATCATTAAATGTAAGGAGAGGCTCTGGTTTCTGGTCAAGAAGAGGTTGCCGCATTCTGTGGGGCCGGGAGAGCCTGATTTCACCGGGGGACCTGGTCCTGCCTGCACCTTCCCGGGGGTCCCCAGCACCAGAGCTGGGGGGGTCATCGCTCATGCTTCCAGAGGGTTCCGGCAGGAGGAGGTGGCCAGGCCACAAACGTGTGGGATGCTTGCTTGGGCCCCAGCAGGATCGGGGCTTCCCTACTCTGCTGCTGAAGCCGAAACGCAGGGAGGTGCATCCTGCCCTCTGCCTCAGGGCCTGGGAACCGGGCCCCTGGCTAGTGTGTAGCCTAGGCGGGTTTTTGTCCTTTTTACTGATTAAAGGACTTCCTCTTTTAATTTGTTTTCTGGTTTGTTTATTTGGCTTTTGGGGGGTTTTTTTGTTTTGTTTTGTTTGAGAAAGCAGAAATTGAGAATAAGAAAATGACGTTTTTGGGTCCCAGATAGCTTGGTGTGTTCTCTGCGGAGACGGGATCAAGTTAGGGGACAGTGGCCACTCTCTCGGCCGTGGTGGACAGCACGGAAGCAGGAACAAAGCACGTGCCCCTGTCCTCCGAAGCGTTGTCGGGGACAAAGGTGGCGGTCGGCTCCGACACCAGCAGTGAAGGAATTAGCCGATAAATGAAGTGTTCCAACACCAAGGGTTATTTTTAGTAGCAAGTGCATATGTAGATTGTTCAGTGAACAGAAGCAAGAGAAATTCTTGTGTGTGGTGCATTTCTTCCACGTAAATATGCACAGATAAAAAATAAGTTGACTGTGATTAAAGTGGGTTGGTAGTTCCAAAGATTTTCTGTCCTTGTTCTTTGGAACACCTTTCCTGACTCCTTAAACCTATCTTTAAATGAGCCCATTCCTTTTCTCATTATAAAGGGATCTTAAGAGAGGATTGAGGGGGACTTGAAGATGTGGGCCCTTCCATTGGCTTTCTGTCCCCCTGACAGCCGGGCCCTTCGCTTCGTGGTCCTGTGTCCGGTGGTCACATGGGAGGAACCTCAGGCTCCGGATGCCACAGACCCCTCTCCGGATGATTCCTACTGGCTTGTAAACTCTGCCGCCCCCACCATTCAGCTGTGTCTCATGGGGGCGGGGGGAGTGGGACTTGGGCATTTCCATGACGCATGGGATTTGGAGCAGTAGGAACCCCCACCCACCCATCGTTCTTCCTAAGAATGTGCCACACTGCCGGGAGCCGCCTGTCTACACCTGGTAGGCCCCAGAACGGGCTCTGAGCTTCCTTAGCTCGGGGGTGCCCATCTGTAGTGAGCTTGGAGAACCTCAGCGTCTGCCCCTTGAGGAGTCGCAGCCTTCAGACATCTTGCTTCTGGGAGATCCTGCCGTAAAGATAACTAACATGTTCGGGAAAGTCCATCCTCCAGAGCCCTTGAGAGCCCAAGAGTTCGGAGCCCTGGCGTGCTTGTCGCCGGTAAGCCTGCCCTGCATGAACAGACCCGGAGAGGCAATGCAGCCTTTCCACAGCTCCAAGACCCCTCGTCCACGAGACCCTCCTGCTCGCCTCGGCAGAGCCGACCCCTCCCTCCTGGCTGGTGCCTGACGCCCTGGATGGAAATCCCGGGCGTGAACTCCTCCCACCAGGTCGTATTAATGTTGGAAACAGCTTTTCCGTTGTACCACTGGATGTCTGGGACCCTCTCTTACGTATCTTTGTGTACCCCAGACCTGCATAGGAGGGGACTCCACTCCCCTCTCCCTTCCCCAGTCTCTTGATGTCCCAGCAAAACCTGTAGCAGGAGCACATTCAGCCTCTCTCTTCTGCTGCTTGCTTTTTCCCACAGGCATAAAAAGAAACCGCAAATTATATAACTATATACTTTTAAATTACAAACAAATGATATAACTATATCTATAAAGACATCCTTGGGTCTTTGCCCACGTGTCCCCTCAAAGAAGCCTTCCCCGACCACCACGGGGTTAAAATGACACACGCAGGTCCGTGTCCCTCTTCTCCCTAGCCGGGTTTTCTCAGAGCACACACTTACCGACACGTGGCGTGTTTATCTCGTTTGTTCCCCGTTGGTCTGCCCCGTGGAATCGAAGCCCTACGCTTAACCCTCAGGACAGCCCCACGGGGATGGACATCAGTAGCCTCATGTCCCACACGAGGCCTGCAGAGCAGAAGACGCTTGCGGGGGTGGAGGGGGCAGACAGGCAGCGGAGCGTGTGCTGACAGGCCGGTGGTGGTGGTCTCTGCACTGGGACGGGGGCTCCTGAAGCTAGACGGGACACCGGAGACAATCCAGAGCTTTAAGGCCACGCTGGACTCACCTGTCGGCCTGAGGGGGCAGCCCAGGGCCGCGACGCCCCGATGCATCCTAAAGGGAACAACGTGTACGACGCAGGCAGTGTCCCCGGCAACACGTGCATGCTGACACCTGCCAACAAGTTGTTCCCATCTGTTGGGGCAGAGGCAAGGCCATCCCGCCCGCGGCCCCAGTTCCTCGGTATTTCTGATTTCCATGGAGATCTGCACGCAGTCACTGAAATGTGTCCTGTGTAGGCTGGTCTCTGAAGCTTGGAGGGGGAAGGGGTGGGGCGGTGGTACATCGAGTCCCAAACCAGGGGTCAGGGTCGTCGGGGTCCCTCAGGACGGGTCCTCTGCTCTAGTGGGGCCATTCGTTCCTTTGCCTGAAAGTGCTCACTGAGGCGGGCTCTGGGGTGTGGCGAACGAGAAGAGGTCGGTGCCCCTGGCCCTGCCCGACACGGGCAGGGTTTTGCGAAGTGACGCACATGTGTGTGACAGTCTCCCAGGGGCAGCTGGGAGCTGCTGAGAGGAAGCGAGCTGCGTGCTGGGGCCAGCAGGAAGAGCCACTGGCCACGCAGAGGGGCGCAGTACCGGGGGGTCAGGGAACCGAAGGGCTCCTGAGAGACACGTGCACAAAGACGGGCTCGCTTCTGATCCTGCTGGTCAGGATTGTGGGTCAGATCCGAAGGGCAAATGGCAGCCACGGAGGGGTTTTGAGAAGGGGCAGGACGCGGTCAGATTCGCCTAGGAGACCACGTTTCCGTGTGGAACGCAGGCTGCGGGCATTAGAAGGCGAGGCCGCAGATGGGAGGCTGCTCCGTCCTGGTGGTGACCGTGGCATGGACCAGGGCGGGAGTGGTGGGGCAGGAAGGCGACGAATACCAAGACTTGGTGATGGGCTGGGGGGAGATGGAAGGATCAGGGTCGATTCGCAGAATCCCAGCTTGAATAACTGGGTGAATTAGTGCCATTCGCTGGCAGGGAGCTGTCCCTGGCAAGAGACGATGTTCAAGGGCAAAATGTGGACAGGGAGGTACCTGCGAGATTTCCAAGCGCAGACATACAGTGTTCATTACAGGAGCTGCTTGGAGAGAGGGGTCTATCCGTGCTCGCTCCTGAGGCGGGCGGTATCTGTGGGTAGTTGTGAGCAGCTGGGTCGTAATGGGATCCATGGCTTGGGTAGAGTTTGCTCATCAGAAGATGAGTCTGCAGAATCCCCTGAGGTAAGGGGTGGGTTCAGGAAGAAGAACTGGGAAGGAAATCTAGTTGGGGAGCCAGACAAGTGCTAGAAAAATCCAGGGAGGGTATTGACCAAAAAGCTACGTGAAGGCAGTGTTGTAAGAAGAAGTATCCAGAGGTCAAGTAAAATGATGCCTAAACACGGCCCTGACCTTGCCCGGCCCCATGGCGTTGGCTGCCCTGCTCCAAGGGGGCGGGTGGGGGTAGAGGCCAGGTGGGATTGAGAGGTGCAGACTCAGAGGTGGCCAGTGTAGGAGCTGGGCTATGAAGGGGTGCGGCGGGGCTGTTCTGCAAACTGTTCACCACCCCACCGTCTTTTCTGATCACCCCACCCCACAGGGCCCAGGCCAGCCCTCCTGCACCTGCTATGGCTGGCCTCTTCCTTCCCACGCTGTTCGTGCATTTCTCCCTTTGACTCTACCCTTCCGCATGTAGTCTGCATTTCTTCGTTCTATTTATATTTATTGTTATTATTTGGGACGTATGTTTCGTCTTCCCACCCAGAACATCTCCGAGTCACAGACCTCTCTTCTCCTGTTCCCCCCCCCATGGTATCCATCCCCACCTCCCAGAGTCTGTGTTAGATATGAAAGAAATGGCTGGCTGATTTCTGATGAATTAGCACAAGGCCATTCCTGGGTTTTTGTTGACTCTTCAAGTGTACCTAGAGTAAATATTGATTATCCGTGGATCATTTAAGCCTTCCTTGCGTCTGTTGGTGGTTAAAGCCATTGACTGTCCAGGTGAACCCCGTCTTTGCAGATCAGCTGTGGATTCTGGCACGAAGCCAACCTTGGGCCTGAGTCCTCTGTCTTCGGTGCCACCAGCCACTTTCACACAGGGAATGACCCAGCTCAAGGGTTCCAGCCGGGTTCTCTAAACTCATCTGGTGTCCTTGGTGCGTTATCACAGCCTAAAGCATCGCCATTCATTCTGCAGGTCAGGGTTGATCCAGCCGGATCGGAACCTAACTGGTAGACCCTGCCCTCCATCTTGCCAGCAGTGATGCTGGGAGCCGCTCCAGTGGTTGCCCTTAATGTAAGATCACTGAAAACCATGTCTTCGTCGTAGCGTGCCTGCCTTTGTCTTTGAACTTTGCAAACATGTTGGTCGTATGTCTAATGAAAACTCAGATGTGCCTAGAGTTGCAGAAATGGCTGGTTTTAAGGGACACTGTAGCTTTGGAAATACTCTGGAGCGCTCCCTCACTTTCCCTCTGTCAGCAGCCATCCACTGTGGATGCCAGGTCATATACAGTTCTTTTCCATGTGCATCTGCGCTCTCAAGGGTGCTGCGATTGAGGTATTAGAACGTGCATTTCTGTGTCCAACCCAGTGCCTGCACCTGTTTATTGTGTGGGAAATTCCTAAGCTTTGGCTAAAGCCAGATTTTTAAAAGGCATCCCCAACATGCCAAACCTTTTGAGATGCCTAAATCAGCATGCAGGACTGGCCAGAGGGCATTTGTAGGCCCTGTGAGTCTAGGGAGGGACAGCCGGATGTGAAGTCCAGTAACTGGCCTTTTGTTCCTGAGATCCTGAGGGCATTTGGCATGAGTGATGATGGTCTGACGTCTCTCTTCCCACAGATCCAAACTGGGCCAGTTTGAACTTGGGAGCCCTCATGTGCATCGAATGCTCAGGGATCCACCGGAACCTTGGCACCCACCTTTCTCGAGTCCGTTCTCTTGACCTCGACGACTGGCCCATAGAGCTTATCAAGGTGATGTCATCCATTGGGAATGAGCTGGCCAACAGCGTCTGGGAAGAGAGCAGCCAGGGGCGGACAAAGCCCTCACTGGACTCCACAAGGTAGGGACGTGGGCAGGCGTGTGGCTCTGGGGCCTTCTGCCAGCACGGGAAGTGACCTTAACGACGGCCTCCCCCGGAGCCGCCCTGGCGACCTGTAAGAATGCCGAGGGGCCCGGCATGGAAACGTCTGTTTTTAAAATTGGTTTTCAGCAGGCGTGGATAATTCAGACTCCCTGATTTTTTATGTTTGTTTTTACACCTTGGGGATTCCTCTCCCCCTCTTAGGAATGTATTAAGCTTCCAACCTTATGAATATATCACTTTAATTAATACATTTCTAATAGGAGTAAGATGTGCAGCGAACACTAATTATGAATTTTTGATTCTTTAATTTTGTGATTCTTCTATCTTTGAAAAGCATCTACTCAGTTGGTTTCCCTCCCCACCCCCACAGACCTACAGTAAGCCAGTTTACAGTAACACAATATATTTTATTTTGTAAAATATATTTCCAACACATTTAAGCAGCTGAGTTCAGAGTAACGTATGGTGACTCCTCATTAATGTTAATTGTTACCCCGTGTAAAAAACGCATTTATTTTGAGCCCATTTATTTTCTCATTTTTCATTTACAGCTATTATAAACCGTTTTTGAGTACACATACATATTTAATGTACCTAAGAGGTGATAAAATGGCATGTCTTCCGAGAAAGCCTGCTTCACAGAGACTGAGTGGGCCATCGGGTCCCTGCGGCTGCCTCTGGAGGAGGGGCCGGGGGACTCCCTTTCCGCTTTTGCTTCTCGGGTGTGTGATGTGAAGGGAGAGGAGGGGTCTCCCATCATTAGCACTTTTTTAAATTCCTCTGGCCTGTTTTGCTGGCGATGAGACCTCTGGTCTGTGGGCGGGCCCCACGTGAGCCGTAAGAAGTCGGTTTCTGCCGCTAAGCCACGGTCCTGTGCGAGCAGTCGGTGGATTTTGTTACCTGAACGCTGAAAAATGAATTTGTGGTGCCACCTTCGGTTCAGTTTAGAGAATGAAGCTGGCGTGTTATTAACCTGCTCTTCGTGTTCTGTGTCCTGCGGGGAGGGGGCGAGGGGAGGAAGAGGCGCCCAGAGCCTTGTCTGTCTGGCATCACCTCCGTTTGCCGGGTGAGCTCGACCACGCAGTACCCAGGTGGGCAGACTTCCTGCAAACGGGAGGAATGATACTCTCCTTTAAATTCTTTATCTTGATCTGTTTAACACAAGCGTAGAAAGTAGCAGACCATCCGCGAGGAGCATTCTTAAAAGACGAATTTGCGTATTAGTATCGATTTTTTTCATAGATGTCGTTTCCTTGGAGGACGTGTAGGCCTAACAATGAAATATGATTGGAAATTGGATCAAGTTTCATGTAGGAGTGCAGAGAACATTGAAATAAATTAGGGAAAAAAATTATTCCTGCATTTTACTGTTTATGTGTAAGAGGAGTGTATATATTATTTTTAGTATCCTGAGTTGGAAAAAAGTTTTTCCATTTGTCATAATTAGCCACCGTTTAGAACGTTTAGGTAACGAAGATAGGGGTTGATATTTTTAACTGGTAAATATTTTATATGCATTTCATCTTCATTCCTAAGTGAGGGTTGCCTGCGTCCAGGCACTTGATTGTTCTAACTTGTGTATTTGATTTAAGCTCTTGAGTGCATAACTTTCTCTTCTCTCCAGCATTACGTGCATCACATCTTTATATTTTAGAGATGTGTCAGTCTTCCTGTCTCACAAATGGGGTGACCGCAGCGCAGTCCCAGCTCTTAATGGGTCACATTCGTTGTCCTAAGGGGCCGTGCTGAGTTGCAGCCCCCCCCCACCAAGGGTGATGGTGATGCTGGGTCACAGCAGTTCCAAAGAACATGAACGCCTTTGAGGATTGAATGTTTCCTTGTGCCTTTAGTCATTCTCTCTGGGGGTTTTGTTTTTAATTAATAGTCAATAAATACTCACTGAACACTTCCTCATAGAGAAGAAGTGGTACATGGTGATTATCCCTCACAGCCATCGGTGAATGTTCTCGGGGCCACAGCCGAGTGTGCCAGGACTCCGGAGAATTTTCACGCCTGGTGTGGGGGGTGGTTCTCACAACCAGTGCGCTCCAGGGAAGTGGCACTGGAGAAACAGCATCTGAGCTGGACTTTAAAATGCAGGGCGGAGTCCAGGCCTGCGGGGTGGGGAGTGTGGGGTGGGCGTGGCCTAGGCCAAGTCCGGCCCTCGGGGAAAGTGTAGAAACCGGGAGTTGCCAGCCATGGGGCAGGACCTTCAGTTGAATGAGGAGGGGTAGGGCCGAAGGAGAGCAAAGGCCTGGGTGAGCCTTTGAGCCAGGGGTGTATTATAACAGCAACTCTGGGGTTTATGCATTCATGTGTGATCTGCCTGTTCCCAAGAGGACTAGAGGCAGCCGGCTGCGTTGTTGGAAGGGATGGAGACGAGGCAGGGAAGCCAGTTGGAAGGCTGTGGTCCTGGTGGATCCTAGGAAAGCCAAAAATGCAGTGTCAAAAATAGAAGGAAACGACTCAGCCTAATAGCACAACGATAATTCAGACACCCACCATCTTCACTGCCTTATGTGGTCTCCTCGAACAGAAATGAGAAACCCAAAATTTGGGCTAGAATTTCCATGTGGAATTCAGTCTGCGACGTGAGAATGGGTAGGCAGCCTGGATCCTGCCTCTCCGAGACAAGGAAAGAGCCCCCCCCCCCACAACCCACCCCCTCTGGTCTCTCTGCAGAACCTATGATTGTTAATACAAACAGCTGGAGGGGTCTTTTAATGTGGCCCTAAGGTAATACTAAAAAGAAATATTTTAATAAATTTTTATTCCTATCCAAGGAAGGGCCAAGTGCAATATATCCAGGCTAATTCTTTGGAAAAGGGCCCAGCTGCTTTCCCGAGAAGCTCGGTCCATTCCATCTTGTTCAGAAGATTCATTCTGACAGTGGAATGTAATTAGAAATGTGCCGTTCCTCCCCCAAACACACACACACACACACACACATGCACACACGCACATTTAGGACCACAGGGAAGTGGGACACAGCAGATCTTTCTCCAAAGAAACAACCAGTCCCCTGAAACCACCTCGAATTGGTGTCACCCAGGCCCGCAGGTGAGTTAGGAAAACAGGCGCCTTTGACCAGCTGGCTGGCCTTCTGCTTGTTGTCCCTGCGCCCTGATTAGGGCAGCTTCGGACGGCTCATAATTGGTTCCAGTGATTCTCAGCTGCCCTGAGAACTGCCGTTCAAACTTGAGCAGCATTGTGATCAATCGAAGCTGACGGCAGTGAAGCAGTATTGACTTCCCATTCCTAAACTGGGGAATCATTAGTCAAGAAAAGCGTCTTTTAATTACTCCCAGGAAGAAAAAAAAAATCTTTTTGGCTGGATTCTGCAACAACTGCCATTTTTTCCCAGTGCATTCGATATTAAATTTATTGTCGCAGGAGGGGAGAGGACACCCTTCATCCCCCTCAGTAATGGAGGTTTAATTCAGAGAAAGGAGCCCGGTACAGCAATTAACTACATCTGGGGTGGAATCCGAATTCCCCTCTCTAATTGCTATTGATATCATTTAAGCACACACTTAAAATACTGATTATAAATGGGGATGCTGAAGCAGGAGAGCTGTGGTGACAGTGGATGGGACTTGCTAGATGGTAGGGCTAATGCAGGGACAGTGGGCTGTGTGGGGGGCAAGGACTTCATGACCCGTAGCATGGGAGCGTGCGGATCGCCCCATGCAGTGTGTTCTGTGCAGTTGGACGTGGGGCCCTGGCTCCAGTGTTAGGACACATGTGACTGGAGGGCCAGGTCACGGAGCTCTCTGGTGCCCCTTTCACAGCAAGGGATAGCAGGCTCGGAGGCAGAGAAGGCAAAACTGCGAAGACCACGCTTCTTGAGTGAATGAACGAAGGAGTGAGCAGATGGGGGGAAGCGGGAATGGGGCTGTGTGGAACCCATGTGCCAGGTACTCCTGCTGCCTCGGGGCCTGGGGATTGCTCACATGTTGAGGGATGAAATCAGGGGCTCTCACGTGTGCAGCACACAGCGAGGCCGTCTGGACAAACCTCGGACCTCTTCCCCTCCTGGGCCCCACAAGGGTGTTTGGGGGGCTCCTCTCTGTGTCACTGTGGTGCATTGCTCTTCTCCATTCCTGTCGCCAGTTCACTTTGGAAGCTTTTGGGATTGCCTGCGGTGACCATTATTTCCTACCAGGACTGAGAGGAGCCCTCCGGTCCATGTTCCTCTTGGCAGAAGCCAGACTCCGCTCGGCTGCCTGCTTCGTCTTCCCTTCTCCCACCTTTGGGTCTCCGTGTCGAGGCATCAGGCCCGCGAGGGTCTGTAGGGACCCCTCGTGGCTGGCATTTCGGGGCAGGTATCCTATTTACACGGCGATCTGGGAACCAGCCGATTTGGTCTCGGAAATCAAAGGAGCCTGGACGTGTGTTTTCCATTCTGTCAAAGAACCCTTGGGAGAAGCTCTAAGCCCAACCGAAATCCCCCTTCCTTCTGATCCCATTTGGAAGGGAGCCGAGTTGCTGATTTAGGATACACTCTTCTGCCTCTTTGAGCATTCTTTTTCTTTCTATCATTGTCACCTGCATGTCCGAACTCCCCTCTTGTCTTTAACCTATAAAAAGATGCCACCTTCGGGAGGAAGATTTGGGGCCGGACGTCAGAAATCTGTGTGGGAGAGACTGGCCGTGCACTTCCAGATGGAGCAAGTCTGCCCAGTGACATGAGTTCCGGTCCTTTTTGATTTGGGATCGCCACTTTCATCTTATTTATGCACATGGAGATATTGATAAAGGGGAAATGTATCCAAACTGAAAATAATTGGATCCCTACCGTTAACTCTGAGATATTAAAAGCAGTACCACTTGGCCACGTCTTTGTCTCGTTAGGTTTGATCATAAGATCACAATACAGTAATCTCGGGCTCAAATTTCTGGCATAAAGATGCACTGTTCCAAATGTGGCCTCAGGGAACATGAGTACCCACACAGCCCCAGGATTATCTCATCTT